ATATATTCCACTTAAACAAATACTGGTGAAACACACAATTTCCCCATCCTGTAGGTATTGCTACATGTGTTAAGTGCAAGATATTGGAAAGAAGAAAAGAATTGAGTGTGTGAAGCGCCTGCTATAGTAGATAAAAACATACCAGCCTTATACGTCTCAGCCCTAAAAGTGGTGAAAAAAAGATTGTTTTGGTTTCCTTTGTGACAAACAAGAAAAGCTGATAAATATCTCATTCAAACAATGTATACGTACATACATATACGTGGAAATGTTATGGCACAGACGCATAGCTCCCTTTTCAAATGGATGAAACAACAAACAATACAAAAAAGGAATATTTTGGTTCAAACCATCAAAAAGAAAGTACAAGGGCTTCAGTCTGAGAACAGAACGTTTGGTCAGTCCCATTGTAGTGCTACTGCTGCCTATTGACGTGGCAGAAAAACAACACACAGTCAAGACGTGGACAACCCTTGAGCTCCGGTCCGTTAGATGAACGCTAACATGAATCTTATTTTGCTTTGTCTTTGCGCTAGAATAGAGTGTATTCATAAACAGACCTCCTTACCAGGTTCTGGAGGACACTGACAAAAAAAGAAGTTGCATTTTGTGCAAATCACAAAAAACCCCAGTTCAAACCGTTTCTTTGGTTTGCACAAGTTAATCCAGTGTGCAGCAATCCCCTTCTTCTCGATCGTTACTAGAATGCACTGATACTGGCTTTAATCAGAATGGAAGTTGTAAAGGTTCTGGACTTCTGTTGTTTTCAGACCAGGTTTCATAAAGCAAGAGAAAGCAGAGGTATGAGTGCCCTGCGATAACTTATTTTTACAGTTAGTAAAAACCATCAGTCAGTGTACCTGTAGACCAAAGAGCCAACAAATAGTGTGAGCTTCTATGCAGTTTTGTTTGAGAATCTTGATTTAATCTACATTATTTAGGTTTAAAAAATAATTCAATCTCAAGACTAACAACATATTTCTCCAGAGAGAGTTTATGGAGCCAATATTTTATGGGTCTTAGCTCATTTATTACAAATCACTTACTGTTTACTTTAACACATCTAACCATTGGTGCAGACAATGCAGGCCTTTCCAGGCGTCCATTGATTTCCATTTATTTATCTACAACTTTTTAAAATCGTGACTGAACCAACAAATGTTTTGTTGGAATGCTAATAACTTCCCATACTGTACAGAAATTCGACAAAAACCAATGAATGGCTGGAACATCTAAAGCTGTTCAGCCTGCATTTAAAAATGGCCAGCGATTATGTTAAACAACATAGTTATGAAGCCAAAAACTGCAAAAATGTAATAATGGTAATAACTGGTATAATTGAATTGCTAAAACACCTGAAACCTGTTCCTAATGGATTGAAGTTTACTGAGGTTTATTCAGTTCACCACTCCCCTACAACTTACTCCAAACTCTCTCAATAACTGCACATGCAACGTCCAATAGTTTCAATCGATTATGACAGAAGTAGTGACTTTGAAATTCTATCACAGCTTTGATGAAGTCTCTTTGATTGCTGCACTGTAGCTTACAAACATATTGAGGCTGGGCTATGAGCGGAGATCAGAGGTGGGAAGTGTCTGTTTTGGCGAACTTGGTACCCCGGGAGCTTTATTTTCTCTGATAACACAGAACTCATGTAGGAGAGCTGAGGGGAGTCGGAGAACGCCTACAAATGTCCAAACATAGAGGTGGAGCATGTGACAGTACATGTGTGAGATGTGAGAAACTAAATCCAATGTAATAGTATGCACAGTGGTGAGGCAACGATATACTGTATTTACAGTGCATGGAGCTCAAGCTCCTTCATGTCAGTTTAAATGCCTTTTGGAAGCAGGAGGTTTGTAGAGATTTTGACAGTCTTGGTTATTTTTAGAGGAACTGAAGTTTGAAAGCTGTGTTGCTTTAAAGAGCTTAAAAAATGCTCAACTTAAATGTCCTACATGACCCAGTATTCACTATTTCAGGGGTCAAAAATCCCTTTGGGTTTCCCCTTTTTCTTTTGTTGCCAAGCAACATTAAACCAGGCCTTACTGTCTGATACACATCAACACTGGAGATCATAATTTTAATTGTGTATTATGCTGGATTACAGTTTCCTTAGTTGTCTGCAATAGGGCCTGTAAATTAAAATGAACCAATAAACCGACTTTCAACACCTATTAAGAGCTCTCAACACGAAAGTGAATGATGAACGATAAGCTCGGGCTTTGGTCAGCACAGGCTTTAAAAACAAGCTGAAGCACTGCACCCTTCCAGGAAATAAGCAGTCAAGGGCATTATGTTGCACAGTTTAACCCTCCTTTGCACAATGGGCATTTTGATTACAGTGCAATGGATACAGCTGAGGATTTAGACAGTATTAACATTAGCAAAACTCTGATTGAGTTAAGAAATGGGGTCACAGCATGAAAAGTTCAGCCAGTAAAAACTTGCTTAGATTGCTTAGTCTGCTTTTCTTTTTTTTACTGATCACTGCTACTTAAATGCCTCTGACAACTATTACTCCTGTGGATACAGCCACACCCTACTGTGCTTTACTTATCCACCTCACCTCTTCTGCGAGACTTTGGCAGCCTCTCTAGTACATGCTGCCAAAGTCCAAGAAACTCTTTCACTTGTATTAACACGTGTATTTGTTCGCTTTGCGGTTTTGACACAAAGAATCCGAAAATCTCTGGATCTACATCCACAAAGTGCCACTGCTGCTTGATGTCAAATCAGATATACTGCACTGCAGGTCCCTGTAATACATTTTAACCAGCTTGGAAACAAAGATCATCACATGATTCTGAAGCCGACCAAACTGGCTCGTCTTCAAAGAGTTACACCTCGAGGAATCTGCTGAAAAAGATCTAAGACCCCTCTGACCCCTCATAAGCAGCTACACATCAAGCTAAAAGGCTTCTTCTCCTCTTCCTCCTCTTCCTCTTTCATTACTAAGCCTCATTAGCCAGGCTCTCCTGGTTAACGCTTTTCCTCTATCGCCACCAATCGGAATATCTGAGGACATCATAGCAGAGCGTGACACTCCCTGTTAAGCTGTGTCATCAGTGAGGGAGAGAAACCGTCCAGAGGTGTAGAATGCAGATGTCATTGTCAACTTGTACAATTCTCACTTCTCTATTTCTGCCTTTGTTACATTACTCTTTTCATACTTTTTGTGCAACTAACCAATGAAAGATTTAATAATTTAGATTTGATAGCTCGACCTTGGTGCTCCCCCTTGCCTGAATATAGCTGAAAATTCCGTTGCCTTGTTCTTAATATGTAGAAAACGAACTCTGCAGAATTTCCCAAGTTCATGTCTGCAAACGGTTTATATGTGTGGGTTTGTCATCATAGCAAAATGGTCCTGGAGACGCGTTAAGTAGCAGGAGCTACCACAGAGGTGGTTTTGAGTTCTTTGGCATGTACCGTATTTATGTCTGTCTGTCTGTTGACAGATTCTGAAATAGTGTCACAACTATGCAAGACACACTTACGACACTTTCAGGTGTAGTTATGTTCAAAATGAAGGCAGAGTTCCAAGATCAGTGTCGTCCAATTCCATGAGCAGTGAGTTCACATGGCAATCACTGCTGAGTAATGAACACTGAGAAGTTATGGGTGGTAAGTGTCAGCATGTTGACAGACATCGTTCCTGGTGTGATCGCTTGATGTTTTGTTTTTTGGTCTTGATCCTCTCGGGTAATTTTGAGCTGTAAGTCAGTGCTGGCCTGGGCCACTATGGCTTACTGGATTACTCACTTTCTGAAGCATTTGGCCTAAATACCAGGTTAGAAATTATAAAGAATTCTTGACTGGCAGTGAGAATATTAGTGTAAAGATTAAGCAAACAACTTGGGGTGTGACATAAAACAACAAAACACATTACACCACTATACCTATGTTTGTGTCTTGTACATGTGTACGTGATTACCAGCTTTAGCTGCTGTGTTATAGTTTGTGGAAAATATGAAAATAAATTTTGACGGTTGAATCTGGTCATTAATTGCTGTTCTTTTGTTGTGCACAAAGGAAACAATGTATTTAGGGACATCAGTAAATCAAATGCATCTCAAACTGCACAGAAAGAAAATCTTGAAGCAGGAGAAGGATGCTATAAGTCCCCCTTTTGTTTTGTCTTTCTCTACAGGTTTCTTCCTTCCTGAGTTGTGTGCCCTGGGAACATGTAGGTGTACTGTAGCGACTCTGATTTAACAAAAAAAAAAAAAAGACAGAGAGAAAACATGCAACTGAGAACAAACATTGTTTGACATGAACAAAACATTGTTTTCAATGTTTTTCCTTGAGCGAAAATAAAGCTTTTCTAGCAATAGGGTTCTTTGTTAAGCTTCCTATCAGTTATGTGTGTGGATTGTGATTCCAGTGCAGCATTGTGTGTGTGTCTATGAAACTTGTGTGGGTGTATGTCTGCATACACAATGTACTGCAGCCGTCTCTTCTTTTCTCCGTCTACCTCTCAAGGGTTTTCCCAGGGCTTTCATCCCATTGTCCTCAAGGAGAGGGGGCTTGTTGCACATCCTCATCTACTGTAGATGGCATTAGACATGGGCTACACAGTGTGCTGATTGCAGGGGAGCGACAAGAAGGGTGGGAGTGGGAGGGGTTGAGGGTTAGTGACAGTGTTTTACTAACTGGTGGAGTGAAGGAGTGAATCAGAATGGTTGGCTCATAGTGCAGGATGGGCAGCCTGGGCAAGGGCAGGGCACCAGATCCAGACTAAAACAAACACGACAACAAATATGAATACAGTCCCAATCGTTCTCTTTTTTTCATTTTCAACTTATTTTTCCTGCCTCTAAGTCTTGTCCTCGAACCCTGTGTTTGTTAGGCACATATTACCCAAAACATCTTCTACAGTGTTGTGTCAAAGTGATGTGCTGGCTACCATATCAAGAGTTTAGTAATGTAAGAAACAAACATTTTTTAGACAATGTTCAGATTCCTGGTTTAAAAGGAGGTTGAAGTCTGTAATATCACTCTGGTTCTTCCTCTTTTTCCCCTGAAGTCTTTGATTGCTGAAGGATTTCCTCTTCCTCCAAAGTCGACGCCTCTTCCCTTTCATCAAGGCCTTCGGTCAACTCCTCCTCTTTGCTTGCCAGCTCTTCCTCTTCCTCGTGAATGGCTGTGATTGGAATGGCGGGGCATCCGATGCCGTCCTCTTTCTGCGCTTCCTCCTGGGCTTCTGCAGAAATCACTTTCTTCCACATTTCATGGTTTTCCAAAAGATGCTGCGTGATCTGGCAAAACACTTTCCGCCTCTTCATCTTTTTGTTTTCTTGTTGCTCTGTTAGACAAAAAACCAACAGCATTTTAAAAAGTATGACCTTAAATGAATAGTTTCAAATAGCATTCATTTTTCGAATGAATACTTGTTTGCTTTATTACAGTTGGATAAAATGACACTCTTGTCTCTGTACATTAACTTATTTCACCAGCAGCTGGTGAGCATACTTTAGTATCAATAATTTCTGGATAGTGGGAGGATGTGGAGACACAGATACTTGTGTATCACATGTGGACTGATATGAGAGTCCAATCATTCATCTCATTCAACCCTCAGGAAGAAAATGATTAAAAACTTTTTCCAAAATGATAAACATCACCTTTAAATAGGCCACTGAGCAACATAATAATCAATGCAGTCTTTGTTGGCAGCTTTTCCAAATGTAACGCAGCTGTATGATGCGGCTCCAGTTGTAAAAATACCTTCCAAAAATCTAAATAAAACAATCTATTAAAGATGATCAGAGACGGTCTGTAAGAATAAAGTACTCTTTACTCTTCAGCAACTGGCGCTGGATGAGAACCAGTTAGAGTGATCCACACTATGCTGCATCATGAATAATGATTGAATGGATATCAGCGTTCTCTTGCACATGAATGCTTTGAAAGAACCTTTTCATATTCAATAAGTAACAATACACCCTAATGTTCCATTTAGAAATTAAGTTTGGTTCACATGGTGAATAAAGCAGAGGTGAAATGAGGCGTTTCCTGGAAATGGCTTCACGGGGACTTAAGAATTTGATCCCATCCCTCTCTAAATCCACCAACTGTTAAATTGACAGACACCACCACAACTCAGGTGAGGCCTGGTGGTTGACTTTAAACCAAAGAAAGCGCTTCAACAACAATGCTGATTGACTTTGAACCATTACTTGACCTTAATTTTACCCCAAAAGACAAGCAACAAAAACTCTTCAGGTCTCGCCAAGCAACAGTGTTGTAGTCTGAATAAATTCTCACTTATGGCACATGCAATTTAACATAATCAGCAAGATATTTTCTACAACGTGTGTACTTTAGAGGTTGACATACGGGATGTGTCCAAACTCGATGCATCCTCGTCTGGTGTATCCTCCTCGTCTTCCTCTGTATCTTGCTCTTCCTTCACCTCTTCCGGCTCCATCGGTCCCTCAGGTGGGTCGACCCAGTGTCCCGGCATTAGAGCAGCAGAGTCGTAGGAAGAGCACAGAGGCCCAACTATGTGAGTGATGAACGACTCCTGTAGTTTAGCGAGCTGCGGAGCAGAGTGGTCCATGAATGGGCTGATCGGAAGACCCAGGCTTGCTTCTTCATCACCCTAGAAGGATATGAACATGGCAAATATATCAGGTGCACAGAAAATGTCAAAATATGAATTAAAAAATTTTTCCTTGTTCAAGCAAAGTGTGTTTTTCAAATAAAGGTTAGAAAGTTAAAAATGATCACATGTATTGTTAGTAAATGATAAAAGAAAGACCACTGATGGGTTGGAGGCACTTCAGGGGGTAAGCAGATATCAGCTGGGGCCTGTGACCCCCTGGCCCCACCCCCGGATCTGCCCATGTTTGTTGTTTATTATTATTATTATTATTATTTCGCCCAAACCTACTTTAAAGTTTTTTAGTGCAAACATGGGTTGTGTCTTACTGTTAGCTTTGTTACTGGACTGTATATAAAGTAAAATTCATAATTATTGGTCAAAAAGCATGAAACAAAGGAATCTGAATTAGCAGGGACAAATAACACAAACAAACATAATAAAACACAGCAAACAAACTCAAAGAGAACATGCATAGAAAAATATAGGAACCAATGGCTAAAATGAATGGCTAAAATGAAATATGATGACCTTGTTCTCTGAAAATTGATTTGAAGAGACTAAATGTTTCTCTCTGTGCTTCATGTTTTGATGGATTGGATATTATGCCAGTTACTTATTTGTAGTTTGTATTTTTAGTCTGTTATGAACAGTTTGACAAAGAGTCACACATGTGTAATACACTATATAGCTCAATTTGTTTGAATGCAGATATACAGTTTGTCCTCTGGCAGGCACAGAAAGTCCCACATCTTCTGCCTCTGAGCGCAGCCTCCTCCTGAAAGTAGGTCAGGACAACTACAAATAGAAAATAACATCGATGGATGATCTGCAGATATCAATCAGACTGTCTGTAGAGATTTGTCACAGTGTCTTGATATGAATCTGAGAATTTGCAGCCAAAAGGTCCCCATTAATAAACGCAGGCACACATTTGGATTAATTCTCTTTTACCACCACGTAACAGACCCACCAAAATATATCAGCAGTTTGTATCGGAGGCCAAAGTGGAATTATGCTTTCCTTCCACGTCCTTGGGATTTTTTTGATTCATTCTTTTAGCCTTTTTTTTTATTTGAAGCTAAAGCACATGTATGAGCACATGTTTTAAACAGCCAAGATTATTGGAACCTTATCTCTGGGTTTGTTCTGCTGCTAAAACCTGAGGACAGTTATTTAAGCTGATCGTTGCTGGTTCTACCACTGTTAATAAAAGGTATGAATTTGAATTCTCTCAACAAAATGTGAAGTAATGAATCTGTAGAACATTTCCCAACAGGGCACTTTTTAAATTTTGGGATATTTTTCCTTTTTGAGTTTGTACTGACACATTTTGTGACAGTCATGATAAGCAAGTATTGTCATCTGTGTTTGTCTCTAATGTAAGGGCTTTCTAAGCAATTCGGTGGGAGGACAGAAAGGGCAAGGGCTTCAATCTCTATGGTAACCAGAAACCTGGATGGTGTCAGTGTGTGGCACTAGCAGTTCTTCATGTGAGAGGTGTGTGTCTGTGTGTACATGTATAGTAAGAGCATAAATTGGGTGTTAGAGAGGGATTCATTAACACAGCAAGAGATTGCTAATTGAATAGAATTTTAAGTTGCGAATTTCAGAGCGTCATGCAAGTGTGTGTGTGTGTGTGTGTGTGTGTACTGACAATCCCCTGTTACATCCTTGTGAGTTTCCTCTATGTGACTGTGAATGAGCGCTGTCAAGGATGACCTATTTAGGTCAGCCACTTTCCCTCTGAAGAGGGAAACATACACGCCCATTCTCTTTCACGCCTCCCCCTCTTTCACTCCCGCTCATAGGAAAGACTGTACATAATCCTCAAAGCTATTATGCTTAGCAGAATGCTAAGTAACTCATGCTGCAGCCCTTACATCTATGCACAAATACAAAGGTTTTAAAGCTTGAATATACACTATAACACTGAGAAAAAAAAATGCGCACGAGCTTCCATTACGGCTTAAAAGTCTCAAATTAGTGCTATTCACCATTCAACATGTGGTTGCTAGGCGAGTAATCATATCTCTGTGTCTAATCAGATCTTATCTTTATCGACTGTATGAGCTGACCAGTCAGAGGCATTGTTAGTAAGGAGCAGGATTTGTTGCCAGGCATCCGTCTGCGATAGTTTCTAACAAATTCATGAGCTTGTAGCTAAGTGTTTTGACCATTCTCTTCCTGCATAACACCCTACTGAAGGGTCCTTGGTCAAGAAATGAAAGGCCTGTTTGCAGATTTGCTGCCATGCAAGTTACCTATGACCTCTGTGGAAGGAGGATGAAAAGCTTGTTGTCTTCTATCTATCTATTTCTCTATCTCCTTATCTATCCTTGTCGGACTGTTGTATAAGATTGCATTGCGGTACACAATAAACTTCCAAATTATCATCATTGAATATAATTAATTTCTTTCTGCTAACAAACTCCAATTCATTTATGAACGATCTTCTGCTCCAAACTTTAAAAGTGATGCTTTATTTCTCCCAGGACCACCCATCCACTCTTATTTCATATTAAATTGCTGTTATTTTTATTAGCGTACTTGTTCGTAGAACTCGTTGACGATCCCCTCTGTCCACTGCAGGTGCAGGTCCTTACACTTCAACGGTCCATTCACATCAGCCAGTTTGATGCACATCTGGCACACAAGCAATCGGTCGTTCTCGTTGGTCCAGTCGATGCCAGACACGCCTTCATCACCCACCTGGGGAGGTGCACAGAGAGGTATGTGTTAAAAATAAAATAATGGTGGTCAAAGTTAACTTTCAAAATATTATGCAGGAAAACAGTTGTAGATATCAAATGAAACTGCCACAGCTGGATGATGGATGGATAGATTTGAATTTGTACCTTTGCATTAAACTCTGCGAGGAAGTCAAAGTGCTTTTTGAGGTCGGTGGCCAGGATGGCTTCAATGACGAGAAAGCGGAAGCGCTTGAACTCCACGTGTTCGAGGTTGATGAGGAAGTTGTACTCAGGTCGAGACATGAACAAGTTCCAAGCTGAAGCTGCATGATGGTTTTCCAAGACCGATCGGTCGTTGTACAGAAGAGCCTGCAGGGGAGAGGAGAAATTATCATTCATGGTTGGTATTCATGAAAATGACGCAGTAGGTCACTATTTGGAGTTTGATTTCAGATGAGAGAAGAAAAAAAATTTAAATTGCAGTGTAAAAGCGTTAAATTACTCTCCTGCTGCTCTGAATGTGTGTGGTGTGGATTCATCTGCTTCTCTTACTCTGACTATAATGCTGTTCAATTGTGTGCTGCTATGATATTGCCTTAGCACATAATACAACTCTGCCTCATTCACATGTCAGTACGTGTTATATATATATATCTATAGCAAAGAATTACAATAGATTGCTTCACTGATCCTGCTGCAACACACAGATACAGACACACACGGCTCAAATCAGCGAACAAAGGAGATCTGTTGCTTAGCAATGCAACCGGACATTTCATAACAGAAACTGTATTTTCATATAAATCAATGATTATTAGCTGCAGAGCTGAAGCTTGATGTCTTTGTCTGCTGATGCATCAGGCAGAGTTTAGACGTATCAATTTAAGGCACCTATTCAATAGATAAATATTTTCAGTCAGGTTGACTTCATTGGGTTGGGGTCACTTTTTGGTGGAAGTTTATATCCAGGATTACTCAAAAACTACTGGACACATTTTCTGACTGACTAAGGGGGTTGGTATTAAATGTGGTTTCATAAGGTTGAATGATATTTTTCAGCCTCTGTAACTGTAACTACAAACTGTGTTGCTGAAAAATGTAACGTGGCCTCTGCTATAAGGCTTTTTTTTAATTAAGGAGACTTTTGCGCTTTAAGATATTTGCTCTTTTAAGTGCAATTCTGGTTCATGTCTGAGATTGTGGCTATACATACTCTTTATTCATGTAATACACAGATTTATTGTTGGTTGACTGAAGTTGCAGCAGGTTAATAAAAAAAATTTATGACCTGTCCATTCAGTTAGACCACGCTGTTTATGTTTATTTACCTGTGGTGCACTGGTAGCGACTAGAAAAGCGTTGGTTCTCCCAGGATGGTCGTAGTCGTGCATGGCAGCAGCTACATACAGGGCCATGAGCTCCAGGCCGGGGATGAGTCCCGACAGGGAGCCGTAGCCTTCCCCTGGCTCAGAGTTCATCTTGGACACCAAGAAGCCTGTGGCACCAGGTCTAATGCCGTTCTCCAAGTCTGTGGACAGAGAGAGAACACAAACCAATCCTGAGTCATGAATGGGGCTCTCTGCTTAAACACTAGTCTATTTTATTCAGGGATGACCTGCTGACATTTTCACTTGTTTCACCTCGTCAGAAGTTTTCATCACTAGTGGTTTGTCTGAAAAGTGTTTCACCATAATATCGAATGGCAATAGGACACAACATTTTGTGTGTGTAGCAGGAGTAGGACACATTGTTTTTACACTGTAAAAATACATATAAAGCAGAAACCATTGCCATGAGTAACCATGAGTTATTTCTTCTATTACTCTCTTCTCACTCATGTTTATTTATTCTCACCTGCTTTTTGTGATGTTTTGTCTTGAAGTGGATTTATGTGAAAATGATATGACTGCTCTATTATCTGTTTTATCTGGCTAATGTATTATCAAGCAGCTCAACTTCCGCACTCAATGTAAGTGTGAGGAAAAATGACCAGAAAACCACAAATTAATTAGACAAATCAACATTATGAGCTTTGATTTGTTTTCTTTTTTGTAGTTTTTTAGGCGTCTTTTGACTCTTTAAGAAATTCAAACAAGAGAGGCATGACAGGAAAAGAGTTAAGGGGATAAAAAGTAAAGGTTCCTGCCTAAATCTGACCTTTAGTGGTCCACGGTTGGCATCTTAACCCTTAGTCCACAGGGGTGCACTGAGGTTGTGTTTGTAACGACAGAAAACCGTGATTACAAAACAAACTGCTCCATGATTTCTGAAACTAGAACGGATGAAATGCTTTGCTAGAATCTAACACAAATGGAAACAAAATTCGAGATTTAAACGAGGGAACAATTTGGATGTTTAGTCATGAGAAACTGCAGTGTGGATAAAATCCTCACCAGTGTGGATCCCATTCTCAGTGAGCAGGGAGGGCAGGCCCGGCACGGGCTGAGTGGTGAGGTACCAAACAGCATGCAGCACATCAGTGGCATGAATCCTGTTGTGATCTGGGGAGGGCAAAATAAATGTTAATTTACAGCACTAGAGGGCGGTAAGATCAATGAGATTAAATACATATGATACCACCACTAATGAAGTTGTAAAAGCACTAAGTAAAAGTAGTAAACAGGATTTAACTAAGGCTTCTTTGTACTGGAGTCTGGTAGAAGTCCACATGAGGAAAACAGGAAGTTAAGATGGTGGGCGATGGAAAAGTACACAATCATCACACAGAACATAAATAGAGATCCTTTCCCAAAATGGTCAAACATATAAAACTGGTTATAACAGCTACAGTATAAAGATGCTAATTGTTTATTCAAAAATGTGAAGATCATGTAAAAAGACTACTAATAACTATTATTCACACTTTGTTTATACGCTGTTATTCAAAATGTGTGAATGTGTGATAATGTTACATCAAAACATGAATTAACACATTTATATTAAACTACCAACATTTAACCATCAGGATTCTAAATACATCCCTGTCAGGCTGATTAGATATATTCATGTAAGTGCTGCCCTATTTCATTGACTAAGCAACACATCCACCTTGTGGCAGGTGAGGGTAATGCTGGACATCAATAATTCACTTGAACATTTGATAAGCCGGGGATCGTCTACTCACAGGGGATGTCCCTGTATCCGTTCTCCAAAGCGTGGAAGTAGTTCATGAACTCTTGTACAGGAATCCTGAAGGTCTCAAACAGACCTGTGTCCTCAAAGAGCCGATAGGAAACCTGAGACATGAGACGAGAAGAACGTCATCGATACTGAGGGTCAACAAAACATGTTATGTTGAGTCCACCAGTTTATATAGTTCTTTTGCAATAATGCATTTTAGTAATGTTGAGTGCTGCTGTGGTCAGCACGGTCGCCTTGCAGCAAGAAGGTTAGTGTTCTCTATCTCTGATTTTTACTTTCTTTTTCTATTCTCTGGTGTTGTTGCAACTCTCTCTACTGCCTACATTGATGGGTTGTATCACTGCAACATTAAACAGCTGAATACATGTAAGTGACTTGATTTGTGTTTAATCGGTATTGATATGTTTCCATTAAAGAGCAGTCACTGGGGTCGTGACATCACTAATTGTTGTCTACCTGACTGAGGATGCAGCCTGTCTTGCCGTGCGTCTTCTCCACTAAACTGAAAATGGGAAAGTTCCAGTTGTTGAGTTGACTCATCGTAGGTTCCAGACTCTGCATCACCAGAGTCTCCAGGGCCAAGATCGGCTTGTCCTGTTTGGTAAAGGCAGGCGGTGCAGAGGAGAGAGGTCAGAGAGGTACAGGATAATATCTGCAGGTGCACTAATATAACTAAACTTAAATCATTTAATGTAATTCACCACAAATGCACTATACTTCTTGGTTTCTACCACTAAGGAACAGCATTTGCAAACAAAATCTATTGACTATCCAGCAATATGTCAATGTAATAACATATAAAGCCCACATCATTGTAAGAAGTCCTAATTCACTCCTATTGAGAAGGAAATGAATCTTCTTTCTGCATAAACCCTTCGTCTTTATTTCTTGTGGATCTTTAGAGGGACTTACAGCAAATTAAAGCTCTTAAACGAGAAAACTGAGATTTATATTTTCTAAACTTAATTAAGCCTGTTTAATTCATTGTCTACCCCTGGTGATGGCAGGAGTGGATGGAGAACTACACCCTCTGTTGGATACTCTCTGCATCCTTTCCTTGCTTCGGGCAGCTTCTTGCCTCCTTCTCCCTCCTCTTCGTTCTGTGCAAAGTCGCTGCTGTCACTGTGGTTGGTCTCGTAGGTGCTGTCATAGGTGCTGTCGTAGTCAGATGACGCTACTGCACGCTCATCTGGGGGAAACATTACACGTGTTGGAAATGTGCAATTAAATGTAACCAAAATTACAACAAGGATCAGGATGAGTAAATCAAACTTTAAGATGATCAAACTAGAAGATAGGAAATAGTCATTTATCACTGAGGTAAAAGTCTGGATTCATAATTATATTTTGCAGCTGAAATAGACAGAAATGTGTGATAATGAATACAAGCATAGAGCTCACGGTTTGCCCTCTGCTGTTTACCTGGATGAGGCATTCTGTCTCCTTTGTCGACAGAATCAACCCTGTGGTTTAGACGATTATTGAACGGCCTGCCACAGCTGATGGAAACAGAGCAGAGAAACACTGACACGTTCAGACATCAAATTCTGATCAATTTCTCTCATCTGATAATTCAAGCAGTCACTGAAGTGATTCTCACATATACAGATGCTTTCAAAGCCACGTTCATGAATTTAATATTGAAGATGTTATAGTGTGATGGGATGCAGTACATTACCTGCTGCAGAGGGATGGAGGTCGCCAGTGAGGGGTGGTGGAGCTTGGGGCGCTCTGGCTGTGAGTTAAGGCTCTGTGATGGCTCTTGGGGGCCACAGAGCCAGGGGGCCGCTCGGTAAGTGGCCCAGCCAGCTCAGGAAGCTGCACTGAACACGTCTTTATTGTAGGACTGGAGACGGGCGTGCCCTGGACGGGAGGAGACGGGCACGGAGAGCCCAGAGGTGATACGTTGGAGGGAGGGAAACCTGGAAAAAAGATTTTTGATTTAAGTGAATACATAAATGAGCATTATTCCTTCCTCTTACTCGGTGTGTGAATTAGGTTTGCACCCACACCTGTTCTTCCCAGTGGTTTGCTGTAGAGGTGGTTGGAGGTGATGGAGGCAGCACAGGAGGCCGACATGGAGCGGCTCTTTGAGATGGTCATCATCACTGAGTTGTTCCATGATTCACTAGTTTGATGTATAGAAAAAAGATAAAGGTTATTGTGTTGGTCTTGTTGCAGTGAGTGTGTGAATCAGTCAGTCAGTGTTGTTACCTGTCTGTGGTGTGTTTGATGCTGGCTGAGCGGTCTCGGCGTACAGGGCCCGGCTCGATGGTGGGCAGCCCTGTGGCTGAGGTGGTTGTGGTCCACGATGATGAGATTCTCCTCAGCAAGCCTGGGGGCAGACTCCGCCTGAGACGCTGGAATGCAGATGCACAAAGAACGTGTATAAACATTCACAAGATTCTCAGACATGGATGAAGCAAGAGGATTTTTTGATGTGACGAACAGTTGTGCGACAGAGTATTAAGGCCAGTGTTAAGGGGAAATAAATCTGACATTTCGAGAAAATTGTCATAATTTTATGCTATGTGTCATGTTAGAGGGGGAATATCAGAAAATCAGCCTGTCCGCTGCGTTAAAATGAGAAATGTGGAACATCTCGTTAACTTAAACTATGTTTCACAAATATCTAAATAATTAATTGAAAATATTTTACAAGGAACTGTGTTATGAAGAAAGAACCAAACAGACTTGTTGAGGAGGAAATGATTGGTGGTGGTTGACTGTAAGGCTGTAGACATCTGTGGGACATTTATTTCATAGTTTCACAATTTGATTTTGCTACAAGATTATTAGAGACTAAAGAAACTTCAAAGATAGGACTCTATCTGAGTCTTTGCATGTAACAGAATTGTTGCTATGAAGTACCCGTTTTTTCCAGGTCTCCAACTTATACTGTGCACACTGTTTGCATGTCTGCGTGGCTTCACACTTACAGCCTGTGATAAAGCATTAAAAATGAGCATATTACAATTTCTGTTTTTGGAAAAATCCTCCTGGTTTTTTTTTTCCATTTTTGCTCAAATTCCTCCATAATTCCTTTTAATTATTACAACAACTTTCAAATAAAGTTTTATTTGCAAAGCCAATATTCACAGTTTTCTTCATAAAGTTTAACAGTCTGCACAAGGCACAAAATCCTCTGTCCTTTAAAAAAGGCTGCCATTCAAATGAGTGATTCATAAACACAACAATCTCATGTTACACCACGGATGAAGCTGTTTATTAAACTTTGAGCTTCTGGCAAACAAAACAAAAAAAGCACATTTTTCTAAAGCAAAAATAGAAGTATGCCATATTTGCTCTTCCAGCCTATTTCAGTTTTTTTATGGTGTATATAAGACAGAATTGTGGAAAGAGATGAAACATGTTCAGTCTGTTGAGAGTTTTACATTTAGTTGTAAAGCCATAAGCTAAACTCAGTTATTTGTCAGCTTGTATCTTTGTACAGTCGGTCCAATTTTCTAAAAGGGACGGACACACACACACACACACACACACACACACACACACACACACACACACACACACACACACACAGATCATGGGGTGAGAGCAGAATATAGAGGGCAGCAGAGGATCAAATATCACACACTGCAGAATCGTGCAGAATCTATTTACTTTTTGAGCAGACATACACACGTGACCCCACATGGGCTTTTCTCCTGCAGTGAAGAAAATCAAATCAAACGTCTCTAATAGCGAGTGTAAGAATGACAGGAGAGAGAGAGACTGACAGGGCACTTGGTGGTGATCAATCACCATGAACATCTCAATTCAATTATGGTGCGCTAATGCACTTTAAAGTGCAAGATCTAAACCACTGCACTGCATCATTATGTAACAATAAAGTAGCTGACAAAAATAAAAGCAGTCCTGATGTTCACTATGATGGATTGCTGCATGTTAATCTCTGCTGCTTTATTCCCTTAATATGATTAAATAAATATCTTATGACACGTGTGGAGAATTTGTGGCAGTTATATGAAATAAAATAAATCTGTGCAGCAGAGGGTGGTCGCATGTTTGGCAGCTGCTATGAACTAAACAAATAGAAAGCAGTGGTGGAGGAAGTACTCAAACATTTTACCTTTCGAAAAAGTAGAAATAAATTGGGAAAAAAATGTATTTCAGTAAAGTACCACATTCACCTGCTTGACTAAAAGTAAGCAAGTCCTTGCTTTTAACTGCACTGAAAGTATTAAAAGTGAAAGTACATAACGAGTGTAGTCTATTCTCCTTCTGCTGCAGGAGGCGGGGTCTAACCGCTTCTGTATCTTTAAAATTTAACATCGGACAAATGTAGCGAATGATGGGAAAAGACATGTGAAAGCCAAATGACACACTGCTGACAGGAACTACAAGCTACAGAAATGGTTCTCTGTGCTCTTTTATCAAGAAATGAAACAAATGCTCCGCTGTCCTGTAAAGCTCGAGTCAGATCTGCTATTTCTGTCCTCACCTCAAAGATGCACAACAGCGCAGCACAAGTGAGTTCATCAACTCACCAATGAGCTGAAATGAGGCAGCATCTCATGGAGTTCCCCTACATGGGCCGAGCGTTCAGGCGGCGTTAAAGCTGCTAGTCGCTTTTCCTGGTAGACTATCCTGCATTGCATCACACGCTTTATTTAGTTTCCTTGCTGCCTTAAGTGCCTGCATACATTTTGAAGCAGCAGCCTTGTAAAACATTCAGAGCCCTCTGAAGCCAGTGCGTCATTGTTAGCTACATTGTGTGTGTGTGTGTGTGTGTGTGTTTTGTTGTATGAAGCATCAAACAACAAAACTAAAAGTGTGACTGTTTATAACGTCATTAATTCAGAAATACTTTCCTTTACTTTAAAAGTACTGTTAAAGTAAAACAGTACTTCCTACTTGGAAACATTCTTTAATTTTAAAGGGTCACTCAATTGACTATATATACTGTAGATATGGATGATATGCGAGCTCCCAAAAGTGAAGCCAAATCATCTTGATCACCCCCTGGTAGTTGGCTGCAGTATAGGTTACAAACCCTGCCCCCATGTGAGTGAATGGGACATGGATCAAACCAAAAAGTCAATGTACATATCAAATAAGTTGTTCTCAAAGATGGTTTCCGTCAATATAGCTAGTTCTTATCACATTGCTGTTTGTTCAGGTGTTCATTTTTCTGGAAAGTTTGGTTTCAATTAGTTATTAGATGCTATAAAAAAACGGGGTGAAACGTCATGATTGACAGCTGAGGCTGACTCGAGATTGGTTCAGTGTGTGAATTGGGGGGGGCTCAGTCCTGTCTGCGCAGACTCTGGCTCCACATGATGTCTAAAGCACCAGATTGCAGTGTCCTGGATATTTTAATTAATTAATTGAACAGATTAAAGATTAAAGTCAAAAATGTTTTACACGACTTTGGAACAACTGCATATGTGAAACAAAAGGATGACTAAAGCCTTTCAGGCTCCAGGGGGGGCTGTGTGAAGTCAGATGAATTACTCTGCTCTCTGATTCTTCTCATCTGCTCGAGAGTTCATAGCCACTACTAGCATAACACATCCATACCTCTAACTGTCAGTGATCACGTTGCACTGTGGGTAATGTTTTAGAATGCATAGGGCAGCCACTCTTTCTGGGCAACCAATAAATGCTTCCCTTTAGCTGGTGAGTGGATTTACATTTTACGTCCTTTGTCTTTGGAATTTGAAATTCTGGGTCAGCCACTGTAAGGTATTTCAAACACCCTATACACCAAAAGGGTAAGAGACAAGAAAACAATTTACCTTTGGGATGGCCAGTCTCTCTGCTTTGTCGGGCCCCTCCTCAGAGTCGGAGCAGGCGTGTGTGTCGGCAGGGATACGAGGCCGGTGCAGTGGCTGGAGGCTGATCTGGGTGCTGAGGAGGTTGCTGACGGCCTTCAGAGAGCTGCAGGTGTTGGGGGGCAGTGAGGGGTCGGTCAGCAGGTCTGAGATCAGACCGTGGGCCTCACCCATCACTGCAATGTCCACTACCACACTGGTGCCCGACGACTAGAGAAGGAGAGGAAGAGAAGGACAATGAGTTCATCTTCTGTGATTCTACCACGCTCTTCACGCTACCACGCACATGTGAATGAGAACGAGGTCGTGTTTGTCATTGTACTGGAGACGTGTGCATGTGTGTGTGTGTGTGTATATATATAAATTATTCATATACATGCTACTATATCATATAAAAAAATTCAGCTGTCAAAGATCCATCATATTGACTGTTAAACCCAGAGGCCCGTCCACGTCAAAGGTCAGCCCTGTTTGGATTCAGTAAGAGATTAATTAATGTTGACATGAGCTAATCATCAGCTTCTTTAGCTTCTAATCAATTCAACACACTGTGAGACACATGTACCCACCCCCAACGCAATCATCAAATGCTACACACACACACAGACAAACACACACACACACACACACACACACACACACACATAAATGCACACATTGACTCTGTTTTCACAATTTTTAACTCACCCAAAGAGACTGAACATTTACTGCATTTAGTTAAATAAATGGTCAATTAACAAAAAACAGTTTGCGTTTCACATCCTGCTGATCATCTTTGCAGATCATCTAGAACGTATTTACACTACGATGTGTTTATAGATTTGAGTGTGAACGTATCAAAATTGCTCGATATGTTTGTGCTATTATTTTTTTAAACTTATTATATGCATCGCGGATATGACCTGTTTATGTTCAGAATTAATTTAGGCTAATAAGGCTACCAGGCAGAGCTTGCTCAGTGCACTGTGGCTGAGTTAATCTAGAGATAACGTGACGATCCCTACTGATCGATCTATCAATTGGCTAAAGGTTCAGTTTCAGTCGGACAAGATTTTCTGGAGTTGGCTTTAGCTCTATTTCAAATGTCAATTTTTTACCCTGTGGAAATGTCATGAATGATCACAGACTAACTCACTGTGGTTCAAGACCAGAATATCACTGTAGCTACAAAGAAAACTTAATAAAGCTGGATTCAGTGAACTACACATCTAACTATGTTACTATGGTAACTATGATTTAAGATGTGGACAAACCCCCAAAACCTTACAAGACCAAACATACCCACAGTATCATTTAGTCACTAAACTGACTAAATGATTGTATTTACACAATTTACGCATCTCTCCAGCAAAGTGTCTGGGAATAGAGCAGAACAGACTAATATAAAACTCAAGGCAGATCGCACAGTGTTTATGTTACTTGCTTCTTTTTCAAAATAATACTTCTCCCACTCACTTTGTGATGTTGACAATCTTACTGTAGCTTCAATCATCAAAAAACAAAACATGTTTCAAATAACAGAATGTCTGGCAGCGACTGGACCTAGAAGCAAGAGCTTGACACATCTGAAGCGAGGGACCTTACACCTGTGTTGCGCTCCCTCCTCTGGCTTCGTGTCAGTGTCAATCTCTGAATGGACTGGCACCGCCGTACCTCGCTGAACTTCTTCATGCTCACACTACAGCTAGAGAGCTGTGGTCAGCCACTTAGCTGCTGCTGGATTTGCCTGAAACGAGGCTCATTACCAGAGGCGATCAAGCCTTTGCAGTAGCCGCCCTAAACTTGTGGAACAGCTTACCACTTCATATCAGATCTGCCCCCTCTCTTGGCCTTCTTTTCGTGTTAAGAATGTTATTATCCCAGCAGATTTTATTTTATCTTATTATCATTGGATTTATGATATATAGCGTATTGCTGTTTTCTTGTTATACCTTTTACTTTGTAAAGCACTTTGATCAACCAAGTTGTTTAAAATGTGCTATATAAATAAAGGTCACATCGACATTGAAGCCTTAAAAGTCGAACACTGACTGATCTTTGTTTGCCTACGATCTCGCCGCCAAGGAGGTTGTTCTCACCCCTGTCAGTTGGTTTATGGAAACTTGGTGATGGGGTGGTACATGGGCCAGGTAAACTGAACTGATATCTGTGAGTATTTCAAATTCGGTGCAGCTTGATTGAATTTAATTCGACTGTTGGGACTCGGCAGAAGTATGTGCTCCACTGAGTGCCATTGTAGTTGATGTTGATGCAATACTCAGTAACAACACAGAAAAACTATGACATATATTTTGCAGGCTATAGTTATCATTGAGATATGAGAAAGTCATGTAGTAAAGTGAGGCTATTATTCCCAGCAGCCTTTTCTCTATTGTCTCCTTATTTGCTTTGTACCTATACTTTACCCTAGTTCCTCAGTTAAGTCCATCTATCACTGTTTCTCTGTAGCTCACAAGCTGTCAAACCCCCCCTCTCCAAACAAAGTGACAGATGATTCTCATAATATTCTTCCTTTAACAGATCGTATTAGCTCTTCAAACATGTCGGGGCTCACGGCTGTGATGTGATGAGTAAATGCATCAAGCGCATCGGACAACAGCTTCCTGGAAGTGTGCACGTACGAGTGTGCGTGTGTCACCTCAACCTGAACAAAACCCATTAGACCACTCCAGAGCTTTATGACATCCTGCTATTGTGACATTTACCCATTACCTGGCAGTAATGGACTCTGTTCAGCTAATGTCAGGGAGAGACTGAGATAGAGCGTGTGTGTCTGTCTGTCTGTGTGTGTCTGTGTTGCAGTAGTTTTAATGTCACTTTTCTGTCACTACTTTGCAGATTTGATCATTTTACTTTAAAACAACCTCCAGTACGTGTGTCCATTTGCAAGAGCGCTCAGTGCAACGTGCATAAGCATTTGAGCTGATGAAGTGCTCCACAGTGCTGCTCTAGTGGAGACACAGTGGAGAGGCAAGGCGAGGGAGAAGGTTATCGATTCCTCCCAGCATAAAGGCCCACAGGAGACGGCAGGGTGAACGATGGTCAATGAGTGAATCAACAGTGGGCGCACGCAGATATGTGTACACACACACACACACACTCAAATGGGCATGTAGCAGCATTGCCCCCTGGGATCAGTCAGGCTTTCAGGATAATACAGTACACGCTGCACACAGAACAAGGAGTCATATCCCAATAACAAATGCAACGCACTGTAACTGAAGACATTATTAATCTGTGGTCTGTGATGATGTGCACAGATAAGTCAAATCTGATTCATCAAGCTCCTAAGAATAGAACCACTGATTGGGATCAGTATCCAGGCTACATAATCATCAATGTTAAAAGGTAAACCAATATTCATTCAGAGAAAAGAGATTTAGATGGTGACCGGCTTAAATATTAGGTATTTCTGGACTTTATATCGTTTTTAGTGGCCAAGAACTCTACACCAAATGGAATTCCATTGATATTTCTTTCTTTACTTATTAAAGGCAATTATGTTTATATTCTATTATTTAAATGCACAATTTAGCCATTTTCAGACATGACTCCGGGTAAAATCAGTAGAAATAGCTATGAGTTTCCCCAGAGTTTGTCTTTCACACATGCACAACACAGATGGAGGTTCTCTGCACAGGTGCATTCACATCAGCATCAAATCCTCCACATTAGACGAGAGGTGATGCAGCCGGTGCAGCAGACAGATGCAGGAAGTGACGTAATGAAGCCGCTGTGAAGATCACATGATTTTGTTGACAGCACCTCAGCACTATCGTCGTCTCTTATCAAACTTTCTTGACATCTTTGTCTGTGTCTTCTACAAGTCACCGCTTTTTTACTGCAAGATATTTGTTTTCTTTTTGTTTCTTTATTTTTGCATCTGTCGCGGAGAAGAAGCGGGGGATCCCCTGCAGTGTTCACACATTGACTTCTCCTGGATTTTATACTAGAGGGTCATAAGAAATTTCTGGATATATAATTTCTGTAGCCTGTACAGTCAAACTGCTTTTGATTTCAGCTACAATATCTACACCATACACACTGTGTGACCATTCCCTCATGGGAGTGTACACTATCACCAACCTCAAGTTCAAAGCTAATGACACAGAAATGCCATCTTCTTTCCTCTTTTCTCTCTCGTAGCATTGCTGCTATTTCCCCCTGGACCACCATCCCCCAGTCCTCTCCTGAGAGGCAGTCAGGAGATATGTACGCAGATCAGGCAGAAAGGCAGATGGTGAAAACAGAGAGGGGGAGCGAGATAAAGAGAAAAAGAGAGCTAGACACAGTGCAAAAGAGGAGCTGAGTCCACAGGCAGGCCATGGCCAGTCAAGTGAGAAAGAGGAGAGCTCACTGTGTCAGGCCAGCTGAGCTCCTCTGCAGTCTCTGCTGTAAATACAGCACTACAGTGAGGGGCTGACCACTCCACCAACAGTACAGAGACACTGTCACACATACAGAATACCTCCACACCTCTCCTACTGGCTTAAGAATGAATGCTGAAGCAGGAGGATGCAGCTGAGCATGAGCTCAGAGCCTCAGAGGCCAACTTCATGTTCTCGATACAGGAGGGTGGAAGCAGAATTGTAAACAGTTGCAGGATTACAGAGCAGAATCGCCTCACAGTTCCAAGGCTATTAAGCCATAACAAAATCTATTGAATTGTTAATGATGATACATGTGTTTTCAATAAAGCCACCTTTTATCCATATCCTTAATGTGTTTAAATGATGTAAAATCAATAGATTTTGATGCTCAAGTTTGAGTTGAAAAATAGTTTGTTTTGTGATACTGGACAGATGACAGAATAAGAACAAAAGTGAATCTCTCAGCAGTGGCTTCACTCTGAGCAGCAGCCTCCTCTCACATGTGTAACTGACCTTAAAACTCGACTCTATCGAGAAGCTTAATTTAGACATTGCTTCAAGTTGTCCTATTTAAACCATCTCATCATTACTGATTAAATGGCTTTCTTTTTTCTACACGCGCACACACACACACACACGAGGACACACATGAGGAAGAAACTCCAATTAAACCAATACTGAACCTGTTTCGGAGGATGTGTATTGTCCTGATGGCGTCCCATGATAGTTGCCGAGTGTCTCCTCTGCATCATTCGTGTTCAGTATGAACACAATCTCTTGCTGTCTAGATTCGTATAGATGCTAAGTCTTTCAACCGTGGTACAAATGTCACAGTCCTATAGAGTCTCAATCCAGAGCAGCTGACATTTCAATAATGTAGCCCACAGACACTTCCTCACACTCTCTTCCTCGCCTCGGCTCTTCTTTCTGCCGTTTCATGAAACTCCCTCCGTCCTCTCACCCGCCCCTGCCTGCGCAACTCTGCCAATTGCAAATGTTCACCGACGGCTCAGTGATAAGGAGGAGACCTGCGGTACAGAGAAATCGGTTGTATTGAAAATACCTGGTTGCTAGGATACGTCAGGACAAAGATCAAAGTGACTTGTCCTCAGACCATAAAATAGTTGTTCGGGGCTCAATTGGCCACAGTTACACTACGCCCACTACTCATCGAGTGTTTCCTGTGATAGCAGTCGATGCATGACAACCGAGTAGGGAGAACCGTGCATTATCACAACGGAGGCTTTCTGCATCAGGAAACTGAGGCGCATATTGATTCATTAAAAGTCAATTTTGAAACGGTAGGTGTGTTGTTGGATAAAAGCTGGATGACCAGTGAGGAGTAGCATAGAGACCATGCTTAATTTGATTGTTATAAAGAGCGTGCTAACTTTTAAAATCTGGGAGCCAGTGGTTCTTGAATGTTTGCTGCCATTCCCCCTGTGGATACAGAATGTTTTCACTGACATGGAGATAAGCTGAAGGTTTTGAGTTAGTTTTGTGGAAGTGAAATGTGTTTTTGAGACACCAGGCTTTCCTTGTATTAATGACAGCGGACCCTAGTCCTGATGTGGCCTTGAGGACCATCACCTGTTACTTTTCTTCTCAGTCCATGTTGTACTTTACAGGTCATTTTTCTGTCTGAATAAATCTTCAAGAAAACATTTAGCTAAGCAAGCCTGGCTTTCAAGCGACTTTATAATTAATCTACGTAGTAAATCGCATGCTTTTAGATTCAACGCGCAATAGTGATGGTAGCTTTGGCAACTAATGGTCAATAATAAAATATATAGTTTAATTAAGTCATTGACCAGTGTGCGATCATGGCAGTTGTTTTCTTCACCGTCATTATTAAAAATCGACCTGACGAGAATCAGGGGTAAATCATATTCATGAGGTCATGTGATAAAACATTATTCTCCCCGGGAGTTTTAGCAGAGATGGGCAAAGGATATGATGCAGTTAAAAGGAGACCAAAATGAAACATCCCGTTATCTTAAATAAAATTGAGGAAATTTCGGATAATGTAAGAACACAAATAAATAATAAATATAACATAGGTCCAGTCATTTTTTGGACATTTTAAGAATTTTAGAATTGTTACATATTCTGTATTAAATCTAAATTCGTTCACATCACAATCCTTCCTCCTCTCTCTCCTGGCTGCACTGACCTGGGATCTGCTCAGAACTCTCTTGTATTCCCATTCTGGTTGGCACATAATCTGGCTACGGTCAGAAAAACCTGCCCGCTCCGAGACACGACAGAGTACTATCTGAGGACAGAACGTCTTCTCTCTTCTTCTACTGTCCCTCCTTCACTTACCCCTCCCTATGTCCCTCTCTTCGTCATCCCATCTAAAAATGAAACAAGAGCAGGTGCTGCTGATGGGGGGGGGGGGGAAGAGAGTAAAAGACGCATCACGTTAAATGCTGGAGGGCTGATCTACATATGGCTCTACCCCTCACCCACCACCATCCTCTGGCTCTCCTCTCGCTGCAGTGCAGTTATTTTTCATATTTCTTCAATATGAGAAAAGTGTAATTTAATTTCATAGACCTGGGATGAGTTTCCCTAAATATGGCAGCTTTGAAGTTCATGGATGGCACATTTAACAGTGCCAGTCTCTGTGTGGAGCTACACTGAACACAACACAGTCTAAACATGTGCACTGGACTCACAAAGATACACCTGATAGTCTTAACTGACAAGATGGTCAGCACATGGTTTATTTAATGTTGCAATAAACAGCCAGTTTTTTTGAATTCAGACATCTGAGGACTGAAATAAATAATAATAAATAAATCGTGCGCTCCTCCGACCTACTTTTATGTTACTGACAGCTGGTGAGGCTGGGGAGTCAACTTTAGACTAAAGACAGAAAGTACTCTGTTTGAGCAAGTTGAGCATTTCCAGCCTAAGATTTGATTTATCGTGTCATTTATAATCTGCAGGTTTTAGGCGAGTAATCATGTCTGACAGTGGGAGTTTATGGCGTCTCAGTTGTAGAGTCAACAGGATGGTGGTTCTGCAACACCACATTAATGTATAATTGCAATAAAAGTCATCTGTTTGGCCTAAAACTGCTCTGCAGTATATTTGTTCCTTGCCTTTCAGTCACCACAACAAATATTCACATAACAATCACCTGCATCAGACCTTATTAACGTTCAGTCACTGCATTTAAAAACAACTGTGATGGAATCAAATCAGTATAGAGCTAAAACAATATGGAATCTGACAATGTGTAATAGGCTCCGGCTGGACATTATCAAGAATGATCCATATTGTTTATTTTAAGTCGACTTTTTTCCCCCATGCATCAGTTAAAAACTAAATAATGCAAATGTTGGAGTGCATCATGTCAGTGACTACATTTACATAGGAACCAATGTTCCAATATTAAGCTGATGAAGACAATAATCTAAATAAGACTTCCATATAAACAGCAGAAACAGATTACTGGAATAAGGTCATACTTGGAATAAGCAATAATCAAAAATTAGACATGAAGTATTTTGATCTTAGTTGCATTATTTTCACAGGTATACGTCTTAATCACATTTTGACGTCTGTTAGACTTATGGTCACATCTTTACCAACACCTTGATGCCATAATCAAACTAATCTGTAACATGTAGACAGGGTTTGGGTTTGGCTTGTCCTTTTCAAAAGCAAAAGACACAATCCTCATTTAAATCATCAAATTATTAAGATTAGGCTATAGCTTCTCTAAATTTACCAGACAAAAGTGAAAGGATTGTTTAGTAACTTGGACCCTCAGAAATGTGTTAGTTAGCTTCAGCTGTCATTTCTGGACATAATAAAGAAACACTTCCCTCTTCACTTACATTGAACTTGGTTACAAACATTGTAAAACTATATTTGAACAAACATTGACCAAGTCTCAATGTCATCATGTGAAGGTAAGCTTGACTCATAACTGTTAATGCTCAGACATATTGGGTTTTCTTCCACTGCAGAATGTTTTTATTGCAAAAAAACATTGTAATGATAGATAATGCTAATTCTCAATAAAACTAATGATAAATGTTTGATTAATCGTCCCAGGTCGAGTTTGCATGTCCGTGTGTTGTATCTGTGGACTTCCCCAGCTGTCATAGTTTGTAGGCTGATATCATAAAATGAGATGACCTGACAACACAACAAGAGATGACTTTGCTTTTTGAATGGCAGATGAAATAATCTGACTAATACAGCGGATTCCTGTTTTATGTGAGCCCCTCAGGATGAGAGGGAGGTTGTTTGTCTGTAATGCTGAATTGCACCGAGCTCCTGCAGATCATGTAAAGAAAATACTGTATATAAGAGAAGTCAGACTAGAGAAGAACCCGATGAGTCTTTTTTCTCTCTATCAGTCTCCACGCATTTCAGCCTCTTTTGTTTCTATGCTTCTCCGTGCTCTGCCGTCCCTTGATGGTGTCCATTACGGTTCAAATGAAGTTCGCACATCAAGTGTATAGGAGGCTGAGAAATCGCAGAGACCTAATGCAGTCAGCATTCAGTGTCAAGTAGACTTATTTCAGTCATACAAAAAATGTTAACTTATAGAAATCACCAGGAACCGTCTCTAGTTGATTGCTTACATTAAGAAAGATGAGTTTGTATTATGCAAATGAGACATTATCAAGTTTTTGTAGTTTACACACATTTCCCAGAAACCAGGTTCAAAAATCATGTTCCATTTTGTTGATGTAGTAGAGGTTTGTAGAGGTTGTATGGTTTTTACAGAGGGGATTTGGGGGTACCTTTTTTGACCTCCATAAATCAGAAAACACCGTGCACACTCCACAGCCTGAATCAATTTTCACCCTGTTTTCGGTGTAAAAAGTTCTATAAATCAAGCTATGAATGATACATGAACAAACCCCTGAGCAAAATCCTTCAGAACATTGACAGGAATCAAACTGGAAAGTTTGATGAATGTAAGAGATACTGAACTGGAGGCAAAATAGCCAAAGATCTCAAAATTGACCAGTGATGGAAAAAAATGTTCTCCCTGTAGTGAAGTGTCACCATGAACATGTATTATCGTTATACGCAATAATACTCACTGCATGTCCCATGAAGGATTCAATGTCATGTACAAGTATGGTTCATCTAGACCGCACACCTTCATGTTATACTGGTGGGATAGCCAACACATGCATATGCACACTGCAGGGGGAGCACTTTTTGTATACATGAACATGTGTCATGTTGTAAAGCAAACAA